TTTCGCCCGTGCCGTTTCCAGGGCTGGTTTCTCAAACCTACTGCATGCATCAAGCTTTCTCTGTGCCCCTCTCGCATGGGCTTGTTCTAGCTCTTCGGGATGGTGGCTGAGAAATGTATTTGCACCTTTGCATGTTGGTTTCACCCAGCATTCACACGCCTGCAAGGTAGCTTTTCCACTTGCAGCATGCAGGAAACTAACAAGTCAACCACCAGCCTTCTTTTTACTTTTGCGGAAAATCTTGCGACTTGAAGCCTCAAAACGTGCAGCGTTGGATGTTTTTTGAAGCCCTTGCCTCAAAGAAATGGCTCTTGAAGGGCAACACCTCGGCACTTCCTGTCTTGTTTTTTTTCAGCTGACTATGCTGGCTGACGGGACTCTGCCCCGCTCAAACGGTCCATACCAAAACTTCAGCACATGCAAGGAGTACTCCATCGAATTGAACATGATTGAAAAGTCACGGAATTCTACCTGGGAGTAAGGCAAGTTGGAACTTCCTCAAGACATCCCACTTGGATTTCATTCGCTTGGTGTGAAAGTGAGGCATGCTTCTGATCGGGCGTCTTTATTATTCCATCAAAGCAGGGATCCCTGATGCTGCCACATGTCCTTGTCAAGCTTGCGCTTTTGCTCGGAAGCATCGAAAGGCACAGAGACAGCATGCCAGCCAAGCAAAGTGAATGTGGGGTGCCGACCCCGGTGTGCGACTCGCGACTCTCGCTTCACTGAAGAAACTGATGGCTGGAAATGCAGCCATCGAAGGCCCGTTCCTAAGGGCCCTGGCTTCATTGGCTTCTCCACCAACTCCTCGAAGTTATAAGTGTCTTTGGGAAGCTCCTCGGGTTCCGAGCTCTGCTCTGGGCCGTCCAAAGTGGAATCAATTTTGCATGAGCCCGCCGGAAAAAGAATTCCTCAGCTTTTGATCGGGAAATCCAGGTGGCTCTTCTGAGCTCGATCCCCAATCCCAGCTTGCACGTTGGATGGCCAAGACTCATGATCCCCTGGCTCCCTGTTTTGCATAATCATTGGTAGGTCTAAGGCGGCAAAGTTCAACGCCCCACCTCAAGTTTCAGACGTGACAAACGACCCTGAATGCCTTTCAGTACCAAATTGGGAGCAACAAAGGCGAGTGGGCTGAAAAGAATGTTCGTCTGGGTGTGCCGCCCTAAAACGATAAAATCACGTTGCAAGACTGCAGATCGCACCATAAATTGCCTCCACTCATCAATGTTTCAACCTCCCAACGCAGTGCATCCCTCAAAGATCAGAACCCACAAAGGGGACCCCAAACCTTGGTTGCTTTGCCCTCTGCCAATTTTCAACTTGTGGGTCCAATTCAGTTCAGAAAACCCAGAACATCCAGAACATCCAACGCACGGGTCAGCTTTATCCGGTTCCTCCCAAAAACCGCCTACACCGAGTCCAACGACAGCCATGGAGATCCCTCGACCTCTCGACGACATCCGGCCGTCCGACATCCCGCCTCGGGCTTCCAGGTGGTGAAGAGTAGCTCCACGGACCTCAGCCAAGTGGCAACCCAAGGGGCTGTACCTTTGGCCTAAAGGCCCCCCCAGTAAAAACAAAGGTGCCCTCCCATGGAGTTGCCCATCCCAAGGCCGGTGGAAAACCAGGCTCCATGAAAGGGGGGTGGGCTAATTAAAACGAAATGCGGTCTTTTAAGGCGGTGGGGAACTGGGAGCCATCTCAAAGTAGCAGCCATGCTCAGTGGCGAAATTGAAATTGAGTCCCTTTAAAGCCAAGAGGGGGAAATGCATTCAACAGCGATTCATGTCAGCAAATCTAGGTGAATTATACTATTTCACCAACCTGAAATAAGGTGGTTGGGGGGCTATTCCCCACATAAAGCACCATTTGGGGTGAGGTCGTGTGAGGCCGCTATACTTCACCCAGAGCAAATGGAACAAGTCCGCTTTGCAATCAACAAATCCATGGCCTCTTCTGTGCAGCCTCCAGCCGTGCGTCCTGGCAGAGCCGAATCCCTGGCCACCCACTAACTTTTCGGTGTGTGTCCCAAAACAAGGTCGGTTTCCTTTGGTTTCCCTTTAAAACTTGCCAAAAGCGGAGGGACACTGAAAAGTGACAGACCCTTTTGGTGATAAAGAAGATGGCCATAGAGGTGTACACAAGCCCCGCTTTCTTGTTGCCGAGCCCCCCCCCCAAAAAAAAAGAAGAAGAGAAGTACTTCACTTCTAAAGTAGCCCTGCGAAGGAACTCTTGACAAAACTGCTAGCCTGCCACACGTTGTTTTCGCCACACGTTCAATCAGTCGCAACATCTCCTACTTGGGGAGTCAAAACTAGGCTGGGCTGCTGTCAGGCGGTCAGCCACATGCGTCCAGTTGCCACTGCGAAAGGAGGACGGAACCAGAACCAGGCCAATTCCGCGCAAACATAGCAATTGGAATGACGGAGTGGGATGAAACTGGAAGCACCACAAACATATGAGAACACCCAAAAACAGGAGTCCGGTCATGACTGCAGCACGTGCCTGAATGCCACAAACGTACAACCTAACGGAGCGGCCCCGGCACGGCGCCTTTGGTGCATCTCGGGATGCACTTCGCAGCTCCAAGCCATCCTGGCAAACAATCCACCGGTCGGGAACCGATTCTCCAACTTTTGGGAAGCTGCAGAATTGGGTGGTGCCGTTCGCCGTCTATGGAAGCCACAGGTAAAATGATGGAAGCCGCGGTTTTTCCATGGAAAAAAACACATCTAACTTGTGGCTCCCAGCCATCCCGATAGCTATTTAGGCTTTGTTGGGTTCCATTTGGCCCACCAAAAGGTAGAGACACTGTTAGCAGGGGATCGGAAAAAGCGACCCGGCCGCCCAGTTTTGCAGGGATCCGGATGCGTTCGACACCTGAACATTGCAACTTGTAAATGGTGGCTTTCTCTTCATTTTGGTGTGGAAAAAGCAAAGCATGTGTCAAATGGTTGCAAAAAGAGTTTCTTTTCAGGAGCCCAGCTTACCCCTTAAAACTCGAAGCCCTGGGGAAGTTCATCTTTTACAGACATATAGCCCATGTTACCCAACAAGTTGAAACGTTATGTTTTTAAGAGGTAACAAAATGAGTGTCTTTTCAGGAGCCCCAGGTGTGGCGAATGCGTTTTCCAGCTCCGGGCGCCTTGATGGCTTCGGCTCGCCTCTTGCGGCGGGGCCCCCGCACCTGAAGCTCAAAGCGCCAAATGGAAGCTGGCGAGGGGACGGCGGAGTCTGCAGCAGGGAGGTGTCCGTTTTGAGGGAACTCCCGTTTTCTGGGTGGAAATGAGGTCGTTTTTGGAGGGAGCTCCCCAATTTTTGGGTGGAACGAGACTATGTATCATCCGGCGGGACTGCATGTGCAAGGGCAAAAGTGCAGAAGAACGCAGCAAGCCACGTGATGCCACAAGACAGGGAGGCCAACCACTATCAGCACATGATTCCTGACGAAAGGACCCAAAGCGGCACAAAGCCCACATGCAGGAGTTCATGCAGGGCTGACGCAAGAAGGTTGGAGTCGCTGAGTCGCTCTGATAGGATTCCTCAAGTGAAAGGGGAGTACCTGGATCCGATGGTTCAAAGCACGAGGGAAACCAAAGAACCGCTGGGCCAAGAAACAGGGTGCCAGTCACATTCACTTAGATAACAAACCTCATGGCCAAAGGCCAAAAGCCTTTCGAATGCCTTGGCGTCCTCGTATTTGTCCCCCACCATTTTGGAGACGTAGAGGACCTCGGAAGCTCAAAATGGGATCCGGGAGCCTCCGAATCCGTGGCTCGCCTGGCCTGGAGAAAACAGGTTGACATAGGTTGACCTGCTCGAGTGCCTCATGGATCAAACCCGAGATATATGGTGCGAAAAGAGAGGCTCCGCTTTGACCAAGCTTCCGATTCGACCGACATGTCCTTCCGTTTCACCGCCCATTTGGGAGTCCACATGGGCTCATGCTTTGAGGATACATCTTCTGCGGGAATTGGGAACTTTCAAAAGGACACCACCCACTTTGAAGACGTCAACCCGCAGCAAGCTCACCTGTCGCTGATTGAACCCAAACATGAAAAAGAGAACACAAATGGCAACAGCTTCAAAAGGTAAGCCTTGCCGACTTGCCGTGCTTCCAGGGCTCCACAATTTGAGAACACACACGTCGTTGACCTTCTCAACCGGGGAAGGAGAAAAAAAAAAGAAGAAGAAGAAAACGGCGCCCCCGGCGCTCCGGAAGCCAGCAGCCTGATGGCTTGTTGGAGGGCCCCCCTGAGAATCACCGGAGATTCTTTGGAGCTTTGCCGGTTTTGAGACAAAACACTTTTAGTCATGGGCCCAAAAGGTTCACCCTTTGATTCTGGGCTTTTTGAAGGCCCGAAGGGGCAAGAAAGCTTCACCTGTGGGTTAAACAGGCTTCGCTGTTGGGTTGGGTAAAAGATCTCACCTAGGGAGGAAATATATGGGAACCCTATCATAAGGGAGATGCAAGCCCCGAGTTTGAGCCAAACATCACTCCAGTCCTGCCAACGAGTCGACCTTCTGGTGGATGCCCCCTTTTGTGGCAGCCCGGGATCCGCGAGCGAAGACATCACATACGATAATCGGGGAAGATTGGGAGCTTAACGCTTGAAGAATCCGTGCGCTGAATCGGGTGCAAGCAAGTTTCAGCTAAGGTGTTGGGGTTGCCCCCTGGCCTTGTCCCCCCGGCCACAAAGAGAACCCCGTATTCACAACATCAATTTCGAAGAAGTTAGTTCTGCACCCATTCATTGGTGCTTTTCTCAGCCACTCATTTGTAACCAGGGGCGGTCCAAGGCATGAGCACATGGTCGTTTGACCGCCCTGGGGCTTGCGGATCCACATAGCGGCCAGGAAAAGGTCAAGGCTGATTCGCTTTGGGCCCTTGGCCGGGCTTCCATGAGGAACCCAAACTAAGCGGCTCGCTCTTTCGGCTCGACGCTCCGCCTCGCTGTCAATGTCCAGCACATCTCCAGCCTGCGCCTCCCTCGCCTCTCGCTCCTGGGTATAAATTTCTTTGAGGCTATGGGTTGGTTTTAAAAGGAAACCCAGGTTGGAAAAATACCATCTGGGAGCCCCTATTTAAGGACGCATGCATGTGGAACCCGTGAAAAGTTTGTTGTTCTTAAGCTCCGCGTTGGTTTGCCTAGCTTTGGTGGTACGCAAGAGTTCAGCCAGTGACCGCAAGCATACAAGCCCATGACTCGGGGAGAGTTTTCTCTTGGTGCGCTTTCTGTACGCCTTCAAAGTGTAAAAGGAACATACGCCATAAGATTCGACCATCCCACGTGTCAGAAGTCGTCTTTGTCGATGCCTCAGGGCTGCTTCAACGGGGCTCAACGGGGCTCTGCCAAGGTGGAAGAACAGAACAAGTAAACACAAAACACGGAAACCATGGCAGGCACGCAAGCGAGCAAGCCAGCAGGCCAGCCAGCCAGCCAGCCAGCCAGCCCGCCAGCCCGCAAGCAAGCAAGCACCCAAGCACACAAGCAAACAAGCACCCAAGCACACAAATATTAAACGACAAAAACAAGGAACCAAGTCCCTAGGAAGGTAGTCACACCAGTCTCCGCATTTGCTCAAAAAGATCACCCGTCCTTCCGCATGGTCGCCTCGCGCCCTTGGGCCAGCTGCCACATGGGCGTGCCTCAGCGGAACCGGTCCGAGGGGTCGAGGGGCGCCGAGGCCACGTGGTTTCAGTGACTCAACGCAACAATCCATAGGATTGATACCTCCATTTGCGGCGTAGTTGAAACATCGAACAGTAACAAGCCCCCTGAAAAAAAAAAAGAGAAAATGTTTCCAGTAGTGATATTGATTCCCTTGAAAACCAACAGGGGGGAACAAATATCCATAAGCAAATGGAAGGATACACGTTCGCACATCGAGCATGAAGGGGGCTCTGTATGAATGCATGCATCCATACGGCATGACAGGAGTCAATAAGCCTTCCCCTTCAACATCGGGGTTGAAACGACAGCCACGTTGGGGTCGAAAGGTGGTAGGACTGAGCCATACTGAAATCTTTCCTCAAGCCCCTTCACATAAGCAACATGGCCTGGTCGCGAGCCTTCGGGGTTCAAGCCAACAAGGCATTCCCACATGCCGCCTGCGAAACCTCCCTTCAAATAACGCGCCGCGCGATCCGGGCGCCCAAACGGGGCCCGACCCGAAGCTCAGGCCACCGCCACTCCAGCCTTCACTAAATTGGCATGCCATGTTGGCAACCTGCGACCGACGAGATCAAACAAGGCAGACTTGAACCACAATCAAAACCCGGTACAAAAATGGTCGACCCAGAACCATGAAAAGAACTAAGAAGGCGGCTGCAGCTATTTATGGTTGGGATCGTCCCTTACCAACCTTCACTTACCCGGGTTTTGATTGTGACACACTTGATCTGAATCCTGGTGTGAGGTTGCTAGGCTGTGCGGGCGAAAGCCAGCACGCACGCTCCAAACCCCACGAAGCCAATCACTATTCACCCACAACAGCCTTAACTCTTTCCGTTGAGAGGCCAGCAGGCACCCTGCATTTCTGCTTCTGTTGGTCAAGATTCTTCCAAACGGTGGCCCAGCCCGAAAATAAGCGGGGGGGAATACACATATGTTGAAGCCTTCGCAGGGGAAGTTCTCTCGCCCGCTCCCTGCCTCGGCCCTTGCCCTTGGCCTTGTGGGCCGCTTGGCAGTTTTACTTGGGCATGGCGACGGGCTGCAGGCGGACTTCGAATCAGAACCCGCTTGCCAACCCCCGGAGCGCTGGACCTGCGGTTTCAAAACCAAGAAGCTGGGGAACCCCCACGAAGCGCCAGCTGCCCGTTGCGGGTCTTAAACTAATCATTCTAGGACGACATGTCCAGGTTCCGGAGAGTACACTCCTAACATGGAACCTGACAGGGAATGGTCCCTTTGAAAGGAACATGGTCCAAACCAGGACCCCCCGCCTTGTCAGGTTCCATATTCGGCCCCTAACTTTTGGGGTCGATCTCAAAAACAGCTCACCATCCAAGCAGGTCACAAGAACCGGGCCGCCCCATTTTGCTTTGCTGACTGACCCTTTGGGCCATCTACGCTCCGGCTGAACGCGCCGGTCCCTACACGCGAGGGGGGGGGGGAGGGCGGAGCACCGAGCGAGTCTTTCGATGCAAGGGCAAACATACATGTTCATACATGACCTCCTGGTATGAAGCCTCAGCTCATGTGCTAATTAAACACTCGCTGATTCTAGCTTGGCAATCAGAAGCCCAACCCCTAAGAAGCCTACAAAGGGCCTGAGTTTACATATCACAAGGGTCCATACACTCAGCCTTTCACTACTATACGGCGAGGCTCCATCATGGCAATCTCCATTGGGCGGCTGACTTCCCCTAACATCTCCGGGGCAAAATCAGGTCTCCACCCATTCGGGAATTGGAGTGTGTTGCTGCTGTCTAACGTCTAACAGAGTGTCAAAACGGGTCAATCGAAATTACATTAGAGTTGGGAGACCTTCCTGATAAGTAGCAACCCGAAGGCTAGTTCACCGCTTTGGTCCGCAAAACGCCCTAAGTTTGGCCTCAGGAAAGTCTCGCGATGGAACAGGGTTCCTTTAAAGGATACGCCAAATGCAAAAACCGCCGGGTTCACAAGCATGGAGATGCACCTGCCACGTGTGACACTTGTCATGTTCAAGCCACTTACTTCGTAGGTTATAAGTTAAAACTCAATTGCGTGAGACTGCTTATTAAATTTACATTTGGTTGGTTTCCTTACTGTGGTTATAAACTACTAAAGCTGGGCCCTCACCCCGCCGATTCAGTTGCGCTGCCGTCTCCCAGCCGCAGCCGCCTGCGGGACTTCGGAGGCTCCTGCCGAAGGCCGAGCAATGGGCCAAATTATTGGAAGACCACCGCTTTAAGTTGACACATCCAAGCAGGAGACAGATAAGAACAGTGACCGTGGACCATGGCTGTTTCAAGTTGGTTGACGTTGGAAGGGGAGCAAAAAATTAAATTTTAGCAGTTCAGTGGGGCCAATCTGGCAGCCGTTGCAACAACGAGACTTTCCGAAGCTCGGGACCCCTCCCCCCTCAGAAATGGTTGCCAGACAGCTGCTCGCAGATTCCCGCGCCCAACGGGGTTCCATACTTTGAAGCATGTTGCAGCAAAACAGCACTGTCACGTTTGTCCGATACTTCCTAAGTTTCACCGTCAAGCGTGCTTCGTTCTCAACAATATCCCTCTCTCTCTCTCTATCTCGTGCTTTCAGACATGGGGTCACCAATTTCACTGACAAGTTGCCACAATTCAATCTTCAGAGGGCATGCTTCTCGACGAGATTCCAAAATATTTGCGCGTGAACATTGAAATAGACGGCATGCAAGACACTCTGCCACTAGTTTTGCTTTCTACAAAATAGAAAGAGGAACAGCTCCATTAGCTCCACGCTATGTTCTGACTTCTTTGATTGGGTTGAATGTGTGAAGGGCTGGTCATGAGTAGTGAGGTGACCTACTTGGTGGGTTTGAGAAGGGGAGCCTTGGGTGCAAGTGCTACTGGTCGAAACTCCTTAGGTGGAGTATGCCTCAAAATAGGGGGCCCAAAGCACTCAGAAAACAAACGACACACACAAATGTGGGCTTGGACTATCCATCAGGAGTCACTCATGGCGCCGCCATATTTCGAGGATACTTCACAGGTCCCAACCAACAAGCCTCACCTGGCTGACTACAGCCAGCAACCTCCACATGGGCTTGTCCTTTTTCTGAGGGGGGTTTAAAAGAAGCCAAAATGCAAACTTCCATTTTGTTAAGACCCTTGCAAAAAAATATAATAATAAATCCCAACGAGGAAAAATAAAACTATCCTCAAGCAAATGGAAGCAAACAAACCCTGTTTTGCAAGGCAGACCCACGCACCTGACTTCGCTCCTCCGTCTTTGGCTCCGCTGCTTCGCCCGCACCTGACAGCTTTCTCGCCAACACACTGGCAGCCCCAGAGGCTGCGAAAAGGCCAGTTTCTGGGATGCTTGAAGAAGGGTCCTGGGTCCCGCATTTTCAAGAAGCCCTTTTCACCTCCTGGTGTAAATGACAAAGTGCGTGATTCCAGACTCTTAAGGACCCAAAAGGTTGTTCGAACGTCAGCCCCTTTGTTTGAACACAAGCAAGAGCTTCAGTTGCTTCAAAGTGCCCTGCCCCACCCCAACCCCCCCCCCCGGCCCCACCCGCGCCACAAACAGCTGGACCAACAGCTCCAACAGTCGAGGAAGCGAAAGGTTGTGTCAACTTCCATCCTGCTAGGGAAGAGAGCGATGCGCTGCAAAGATCACCAAGAAAAGCGATCACATGGGCAATAGGGACAGAGCGGGAAAAGTGGGCACGGCACCTTTCTTTCGTGCGTGCATGGAAGCGGGCCTGCCTGACCCAGGTTCTTCCCCTTCTCCTTGCGAGCAGCAAATTTGCAGGAAGTCAGCCTAAGGCCCTGAGGTTGCTGTTGCCTGCCAACTGCTGAGAAGCCTGTTTTGTACTGTTGCCAGTTTCGCAAAACCTCCACAGAGCATAGTTCCGTTTCTCGCTTAGTCTCTGCAGAAAATGCCGTTGAGTGCTACTTACTCAAGTGAGCTGTTGAACTGGCTACGTGATCTGTTCACGCTATGCGTTCCTGCCGCTTTGCCGAATGAAGGCAGGTCATGGCCGCTAGTTTTATGGCTCCGATGCTGCCGTCGCTTATGTTGCGCTGGGTGTTGACGAAGCAACATGAAGAGCGTAGATGCCAACCAGCCGTCCCCTTTTTGTGCCCCTTCGCGAACATTTCAAACTCGACGGCTATTTGGCACCCCAAATGGTTCACCAAATTCCTATGTCGAGAGCTGGGTGTTTGAACTACTCTGTCTGTGGGAGAGCGGAACTGAGACAGCCACATTCCCGTCACTCCCACCACAGCGGTCAGAATACGTGGTAGGATATTGGAAAGTTTGTGGCTCTCCTGGTTTGGGTCGAAAAACCCAGTGTGTCCCCCATGTCCCTCCCCAATGCACGACTAGACTGATGTGTTGCTCGAACCGTGGCCGTGTTGGTCGTCCTGCTTCCTCTTGACCTCTCTGCTGCATCACAAGCTGGTCCTGGGCCGCCTCCTGCTCGCGCGCAGAGTGCCAACAAAACGTAGGAAAGCAGAGCCACGGGTAACTACCCCCTGCAGGGTAGCATGGAATCCTGCCAGCCAATCACCACTTCTAGAGGAAACTCCTTTTGGGAAATGGACCCGCTGTGGTTCCAGGTTACATTGCGACAGGACCTGGAAATCGATTCGAATCGATTTCCGGCACGGAAGCATGGGCCAATCCAAGAGGTGTCCCCAGGTTGCCCCCCAAACACCATCGGGGGCTTAAGCTGACAGCGGCCAAGCTGACACCCGGGCCCATCCCAAGCTTTGACAAGAAGAAACCAAGACGCAAAAATATCCGCAAGCTAGACTCAACAAATTCCCACACCAAAGAAAGATGCATCGCCAAATGTGTATATATATATATACATATATATATATATATATGTATGCATGCGTGCATGTATGTATGTATGTATGTATGTATGAGTGACGAACCCTGTCGCTATGACAACAGCTCTGCAAAATAGTAAACGCGAGGAAGAACAAGCCGGAATGCCCATCATCCCCCCGACCTTCTGGGGGAGGGGGGTGGGGGGTCCTCAATTCTATTTCTCTAGCCTGCCCCACAGCGGAAATGGAATCATTCATGAAACTCCAGGGGGTGACCCCTCAATTCCATTTTAAGGGGTGGGATTGCCCATCTCAAGCCAAAGTTGAACCGACCGCTTCCCGCCCTGCCCTGCCCACCCCGCCCATCTCCTTGGCCGAGGGCCGCAACGGCCCCAAGACGCGCTTGCCGCCGCGGCTCACGCAGGCCGCGTACCACCGCCTGCCTCGCACCACCTGAGCCAAAGAGCCAAGGGTTGTTTGGCGCGCTAGCTGTGCTAGCTGTTCGCCTTGCTCGAACTGTTCCGGCCAGGCGAAAAAAGAGTAACATCCCTGCAACCAACTGAAAATGTATGGGAAAGGAAGCTTTTCTGGGTACACGTCCTTCCATGTATTCATCTGTGGTGGGGAACCCGCCAAACCAACAAGAAACATAGGCTGCCACGACGAAAACAAAGCAACACCCCGGCGCCTGTGGGCGGATGCCCTGCGGGGCGACGTTCTGCACTGCGTCCTGACGTGCGAAAAGGCAGCCACGAGCCCTGACAAGTGAAACAAACCTCAAAGGCTTTCCCTTAGTGCGTGTAAAGGAACTTCCTTTGAAAAACATTTCGCTTATCTATGTTCACCTGCCGTGAGTCGGGGCCAGTATTTAGTCAAGGAGCACGCAGTCCTTTTCAGGTTCATTAGTGTTGTGTGGTGTGGTGCCGTGTGGTGCTGCATTGCGTTGCGTTGGGTTGCGCTGTGTTGGGTTGTGTTGTGCCTTGTGTGCGTGTGTTTGTTGTTGACCGTGCCCTATACGGGGAAGCCAAAAAGGAAACCGCCGTTTCCAGGGTACCGACCCCTGTTTCGACACATACCCATATTATGTTGCTAGCACAGGTTCCCATTTCGACTAGGGGGTGTGAACAACCAAGATGTGTGTTGCAACCAGCCGAAAGCGTCTCGCGCTGCATCAGTTGCTTCGGAGCATTGGGATGGCGTGCCTCCCTACCAATTGCCCTCCAATGAGACAGCTCGAAGCAGGACCCATCCGCAATGGCGATCCTCGTATCCTACACATTGGGGTGAGGTTGTCATAACTCAGTTTGAAGCAAGGACCCCAAAGGAACCTTGGGTGAGGTCACAAGACGAAACCCTTTGCCGGCTTGCAAGGCTGTCACTCTCTCCCTTCTACCCCAAACAACCGGCTTTGTTGACAAGCATCTCACCTTTCGGTGAGATGGGCTTCAACAAAACAGGGTGGGTGGTCAACCCCAGGGCCACCCTGGCAACCCTTGGTCCCAACGTATCCTGCCCCGTCGGCAGGGTGGCCGCGAATTCAGCCGCCAACTCCCGCCACTGCGCCGTAAGCCTCTGCGACTCCGCCTTGCCCGGGTGGGTTCGACGCCGGCGCGATACCGGCAGTGGGGCGGGTTGTGGATTAGTTTGGGCGGGGGTGTCAAACATGGCTGCCTTACGGGGTGCGATTTGGCGACATGCCACGCTGCTCTTCAGAAGGTCTCAAACACCCCCCCCCCCCCCGGCACATCGGTAATACTTACAAAATCGGGCCCGGCAAATTTTGCCGTCCAACGGATTGGCTCAGCGCCCGACGTTTGCCCGCGCCCCACGCCCGTGCGGAAAACCGAGCTCCGAACCCCGACCCAGCCCCTTGAAACCCAAGAAGTAGGAGCCCCAATCCAAGCGACAGACTCAAAGTGCCAGCGTAGCAACTTGGCGGCAGAAAGTATCGCCCCCGATCACATTTTTAGACGCCCCCTCCGTGGCAAAACCTCACACAAGAAACAAAAAAAAAAAAAAACGCCCCCTTGCGGGTGGGCGAACGTAGGGTGCTGTGGGAACGGTTTTTGGACACCCCGTCCCACATGTAAGTCTCCCCTAAAATGGGAAGGGCTGCAACAGGTTTGCCCACACCATCTGTGACGGCTCAAGGGGCCCCGCCCCGTCGGGCGGAGATTAGAAGAGCGATCCGAGCATGAGCTCCACGCTCGATAAGGCACTTTCCGCCGATGCCAACGGTCATTCTGCGCAGCCCAAATCTGGAACATCGCAGCAATTCGCAGCACTTCACATTGTAGTAGCGGCGACGCAGCTGGAGGCTTCGACGAAGCTAAGAACTGCCGGCATTCCAGCACCATATGCGATCGGCCATTCAACCCCAACTAACAGACACACTCACCTGATTCGCCTAATAATCATGGGGCCTTGGGGGTGTTCAGGGGTTAGACTCATATCCCAACCGTCGCGTGCCGTCCCAACACAAATGGAATTCGAGACCCCGCCCCCTCATGTCCAATAAGGAAGGGATCACCTGGCATTGGGTCAAATCCACCGCATGTACAGTGGCGGCGTTGCTGCTGAGGGTAATACAAGCATGCACATATACGTCTAAATGAATGTTTGCATATTTGAGAGGGTGGAGTTACTTGTTGGAGACCCCTGCGTTGGTAAGCATCCCTCTCGAAACGAACCCTCTTCCCTTGAAACAGCCTGCCTCCAAATCCGCCAAAGCATTTGACAGCTCCGTTCTGCCTGCACCCGTGACATCGACCGCACCAAAGAAACTGCACAACGGGCAACCATGTGGCTGTGGGTCAAGAAAACGGTACCGGTGCCCTTTTCAAAGCTGGTTTGAAGAAACCCATCTTGGAGGTTTGCAGATTTTGGCCACCCACTTGCTCCATTCCCGCACAGGCCTGGACAAGCTCGCCGGTACCCGTCCATCCTGGCCTGAAGTGGCGCGAACATCCTTTTTGGGTGACCCGTTCGAGGGGCGCCTGAACAGAAACCTGTACAAAGGGAAGCGCCCCTTATTTGTAAAGTCCCCTTCGACAGAGACAAGCCCGTTTGTTGCTGGCTAGGTCTATGAGAAATTTTGCAACATGGAACATTGCTCAGACTCATCAGGGAGTTCTTCACCTTAGGCGCCAGCTTTATTGCTCGGTCTATTCATTCAGCGTTTGTCATCAACCGCCCTGCTGCACTTGTGCTACGGTGCTACTTGCAAAATCTGCCAAACTGTCACATGAGAGCTCCAGCCATAGGTGGCCTTTTGGAAAAATAGATGGCCCTAAATGGAACAAAACCCCTCTAAACCAGTGGAACCCATCGATTTTTCACCAGGCCCACCGAAAAAGGACACCTACGACTCCAGCCTTCAGCTCCTCCATATCCTTCTTGCACTCCTGGATGGATGCCCTCACATCCTGCGTGAGGCGCCTGGCGCTCTCTCGGGGCACTTGGCCCCCGTGCCAAGCTTTGATGGTCAAATCCCCATAGGGACGATAGGGAGGGGGATGGGCCCCCAATTCCATGTAGTTAGTCTTCCCACTAAACTGGGAAAATGGAACCAGAAATGGATTTCCAGGGTCACCCCCCTCCAACTCCCTTTTTTAGGGGGTGGGGATATGGCCAAGCCTCCTAAGCCAGGGCTTTTCCCACTCAGGCCTGCGGCGCACCCCAGGAGCACCGCGAGAAGCGAGCTCACACTTGCACACTTGAGTACCACATTGGGCACCCCGCATTCACCGGAAAGGTTTTAGTACTTCAAGACACACACGCACACACACACACACACCGGTGCCTCAGCTGCACTCGCTGAGCTTTCACCAGCGGCACGGGGCCCAAACTCGGAGGCCACAGCTCTCGGTCGCTGCGGTACACGCAGCCTCCAGGGATCAGCGGCGCTGCCGGATGATTTTTCGCCCCAAACGGTGGCTCATAAAAAGGGGATGCGTCACTAACCATTTTTCAAACAGGGCTTGCCTGATATGGGTGTGGTGGTCAAAACTGGCGGGTAACCCCAAGATGGGTTGCCCTGGTAACTAAATGGAACCAAAGACTAAGACCTGCGTAAAACCCGCCTAGTTCTAATGAATTTGAGCCACGCCCAAATCAAAAGTTGATGACTTGCGATCGGTTTCCTTTCAGAGGACCCCCAGGTTCACTCCCCCATTCCCTGCTGAGCTTTGCCTTGCTGCTTCTCCGGGGTTTCTCAAAAACAGCTTGCCCAATTTAACACCCGCCTTCACCAGCGGTTCTCGGGAAGGAACCAAGGGGTTTGCAAATGGGGGGTTGCTCCCTTTTCGTGTTGCTTCAGAAGGAAAAATGCAGGAAAACCATCATTTGGGGGGTCCCCAAAAAAAAGAAACACGCCCAAATCAACTGATCCGCGAAGTTGGGTGGTTTAGGGGTCATTCCCTTTAAGAACTCTGGTAGGCGAAATGAGTGCTCCTTCCATGCATTCTCTTTTGGGGGGCCAGCTGGGAGCCCCCCCTTTCTTGGTTGCTGCAACGACGCCTCTGCAACAATCACCTCTTGCGGGTCCAATTCGTATCCCTTCCGTTTCCACCAAGAAGTGTCAAAATCCAAAGATCCGTTTCCGTTACCAAACAGCCAGAAAGACACACATATCCTTTTTGGGAAAACTTCAGGGCCCTGGTAGCTGCTTGAACCAACAGGTAAACCAGGAATCGCCCTCTATTTTTCAACCAAATCAACCAAAGAGGACACCTATGCATAAAGATGTCAGCGTAGGTTCACCCCTTTACAACCTCCAGTCCCCCCCGCGCCCCCTACGGGGGAAGGGGGGACCTGAAGTGCGGTTTGAGGGGTTGAAATAGGTACCACAAGGAAAAAAGCGACAAACAAGGGGGAGGCCTCGTTGCAGGAATCCCGTCACGCCTGTGGCTGCACCTCCAGCCCCCGCGGTTCGGGAGCTGAGTTTTCGGGGACTTTTCGAAGATCCCTATGCACCACCTTTTCCGGCCACCCCTCCAAGCCAAACCTCGCCCCCATCTCCCCGCTCTCGGCGGAGGCTACCCTGTACACCTTTTCGCTCCAGGCCATCTCGTTGACCCTGTCGGAGCCCCTGCTTTCGATCGGCTTAACCCTGATCCGAACCATATCCCCGACCTTGATTTCCGGGCGGGTCACCTTGTGCTTGGCCCTGCGCTCGATGTTGCGCAGAGCAATCCATTTCGGGGTCAGAGTAGGCGAGGTTCGGCGCCACCTGTGTGGTAGCGTGCTTCCTTCCGTTGATTTGGCTCAAGATGTCAGGCAGCATGAGGTGCCACTGGCCCCGCCGGCCCGCTCCGGCTGCTATGCGACGCAACATGGCCTCCTTGATGGTGCGGATGGTGCGCTCCGCAAAGTAGGCGTGGCCCCTGGTCACCTCTTCTCGATGTCCCTGAAATCCATCAGCTCCTCGAACTCCCTCTTGAACTCGGAGTGGCCGGCACCCCCAGGGCTTGGAACACCTTCTTCATGCCCGCCGCGGTGGTGGTTGCAAGACGGTCCTTCAGCGGCTCCGCGGCCACTTTTTTGGTCAGCGCATGGCCACCAGTATGAAGGGGTAGGGCTTGCCCCCGGAAGGCCTTCATGTCGGCCAGGTCCACCTGCAGCTGGCTCATGGGCTCCAGAGGCACGAAGCTGTTGTAGCCTCTCTGCGGCCGGTCCTGGTTTACCCGGAGGCCGTCCAGAAACGCCTTCACCTCCTCTCTGGAGATGCTGGGGTCGCGCGCCTAAGCCTGCTGCAGCGTCTGCGCTATGCTGCCGAAACCGGTGCGGGGATCCTTGTAGACGGCCTTGATGGTTCGTCTGCGGGCGTCGGCTATGTTTCTTATGGGTTCGGCCCCCGCTGGGCCTGCCAGGCTTCCACCTTGTCCAGCCGGGCCTGGAAGCCCTTGCACACCCCCCAGAGCACGCTGGTGAGGTGAGAGTAGTCGAGGGTGACCATCTCCGTGCCGTCGCTCCAGCAAACTTGGCGTCAGCCCCCACCCTGCCTGCGGCTTGGGCGGCTTGGGCGGCTGGGGCGGCTGGGGCGGCTGGGGCGGGTTTTGCACCGGCGCCGCGGGCGCCTGGCGCGAGCCGTCCATGGACCCAGAAAAGGGGATTAAGGGTCCCAGCCCAATTGAGGCTATGTTCGGCTGGTGCTCGGAAGGCTTCACGCATGGCAACATCCCCTCCGAAGAAAGAAACATAGCTCCAACCAAGGAAATGGTCTACTAGGTCCGTCAGTAGAGATGGTTAGAATAAGGGAACCCTTTTTTTGTAGTAGGGGAACCTCCCCAAAAAATGAAACGGCAAAAGGGCACGTGGCTGGGGGACCTAGTCTACAAAGGTGTCCCTTCTCATAAAACCCCCAACCCTAAGTGGGCCCTCCCCTCAAGCTTCAAAACTTGCTCAGAGCCTCGCACGCAACACAAGTTGAATTCTGGTTAACCATCCCTCAAAGAAAGGATTTCCCACTGAAAAGGGAAAGACAAGGGGGGTTGATGAATCAGGGGTCGGCATGAAAGTCCCGACCTGGTGGTGTTTTCCAGCCCCAGCCGTGGGTCAAAAGCCAAATCGGTTAGCCCCCAGTGAACATCCCATTCAATCCAAGCACTAAAATAGGGAGCCTAAAACGGGTGGGGCGAATTCACCTACCCTTTCCAAAATGGGATCCGGATCCCAAAACGGTTTTGAACCATGGCCTATACCAAAGGGCAACCCCCAGGTCCCCGCCTGGTGCTTGCGTCGCTGACTTTTGGACCGGAGGTCCCTTCGCACCCAACGCCGCCAGCGGCCGGGTGTCGGAAGCATCGCTGCCTGACACTGGGCAAATGCATGGCTGCTCTGGGCGAACCGAAGGGAAGGGGGGCGAATCTCCGGAGAAAAAAAAGAAAAAAGTACAGAAATTATCAGCTGCCTTGAGACTTCCTGGGAAGTGGGAACGATTTGCTGGGGGACCCACGTGGCATTACCACCGCGTGGGAGCGGGGGGGGATCATCCTTGCGCAAAGGTAGCAGCCGGAAGATGTTGGCATCACAGTCAGTATGGGAAGTCCAGCCTTCAAGCTACCAATGCACGAAAAAGGATCCTGATTGGATTTGACATTTGCCAGGCCTTCTGAAGAAGACGAGGATGAGGAGGAGTCCTCCTGTCAGCAAGCTACTGAGCACCATGGCAAGTGCGTGGGCCGATGGAACACGTCGTTCTGCTCATCCGCAAAAATCTCTGGGCCGAGCTTCCTCCTTGGACGAGTTTTCCGCCCATTTTCCGGTCGCGGTCCCTTTGACAACGACCAGCCAAGGGAGGGAACGACTCACTCGACCCCAACCGACACGGCGGAATCCACCTGTCAACCAAACCGACGCAAAGGGACGGCCCTTGGCCTCGACTTCCACCGCCGGCGCCGAGGCCGGCGCCGCGGGCCTCGCCGCCTTTGGCGCCGCCTGCGCTGCCTTTGGCGCCGGCACCAAGGGCTCGTCATCGCTGCTGGAGCCTCGAGGCAATCTTGGCGCCAAAAAAACCGGGGGGGGGGGGGGGGGGGGGGGGGGGGGGGGGGGGGGGGGGGGGGGGGGGGGGGGGGGGGGGGGGGGGGGGGGGGCGGGGGGGTGCGGGGGGGGGCGGGGGGGGAGGGGGGAGGGCGGGGCGCCAGTCAGTTGGCGGCTTACTGCAAGAGGAGGGCGTCATGCATGCCGGGTAGGTGTGGGATTTTGCAACGGTGCTCGCCGTTGGCTCTGCCGTGACTCTTTGTAAAAGTACCGCCCTCCCACAAACATGGCACCTGAGGGAGGGCACCTGGAAAACCTCATAGGTCCTACAGATATGGAGGGAGGGAATGTGGCCTGGAGTCACTGAGGCCTCCATCAAAATGGGCAGGTCCCCAAGCTTGAAATTGGAGCATCCAGGGAGCAGCTCGCCAATGGCACCTGTTTGAGCCGGATCCGGTGGCAAGCCTTTGAGCTGGGAGAGCGGATGCGGATCATTGGAGCGGGCAGAATGCCTCATTTGCATGATGGATGTAAAGCTCGCGCCAGCCAGTTCCAGCTTCAACGCCAAGGAAGCTCTGATTGAAATTGGCCCAGAGGGTGAGCTTTGATGCGCCCAAAAAGGCAAGACGGATAGATGGATAAGCAACCAAAAAAAAAGATGGGACAGGATAGGCTGAGACAGGATCGGATAGGTTGGGATAGGGTACGGCAAGACGAGACAAAATAGATAGATGCATTTACTAACCCCTGAATGCAGCAAGTTCAACAATTCCAAAGCCTGAAGTAAGGGATCCCCAAGCAAAGGTCCTACATCATAGCTCGTCTTAACCCCGAACCGGTGCAATCGCTGGCCATATTTATGGCAGCAAGCTACCCCAACTCACTGAAGGAGCTGTCTTCAACATTCCCCACGCGAATGAAGGTCTAAAGCGTGCCATTCGCAGCAAGGAATTCTTGGCACGACGTTGAGCGGCTGCAAATAATGCCAAAAAAGGATAGGTAGGTGCCATGCATCGACGTCCTGCCGCATTATTCAAGACAGACTTCCGCGACCATCAATACATCTAGGTCCTCCAGTAGAGAGCTTAGAGTAATTTGGCACCAACCTTTTTTCTGTAGTCTATTTTAGTAGGGGCTTGCCCTCCCAACCAAAAACGAAACGGTAAAAGTAACGGCACCAATTGCTGGGGGACCGTTCGACATGCATCCGATCCGCTTCCCGAGGCTGCGGCTGCTGCTGCTGCTGCTGCTGCTGCTGCTGCTGCCACCGGGGTCCTCCTGGCAAGGCACGCAACCGGAGCGTGAAACATCGAGGCCCCATGCGCGCGGGTGCCGGGCCACACCCGCGCGAAGCATTGACCTTCCGGCAAATGAACTTTCATGTGAAAGGTTCATTGCCCAAAGGGGCATCAATTCCACCCGTCGCGGCAACAAGTGCATGGGAACACGATTCATGAATCATGACGGGAGAAAACAACAGCGGGGAGACGTCAAACATGCATGTGGAACAACTAAGGACATTGCCGGAGACAAATGCTAAATGCGCAGAGATTGAATGAAGCGTGAGCGAGCTCTCGGAGATCCAAGAAGTCATGGAGACATCACAGGCCTCTCTCTCTCTCTCTCTCTCTGCTGGTTTGCAGGCGTTCCGTCCAAACATAACCCTCCACAAGAATCGGGGGTCCAAACCTGCAAACGATCCAAACCGCCAGTCCGTGGATATCTGAGGCAAAGGCGGGTTCAACAGATGACACGACCGAAGCCCCGCTCCAAAGTTGCCAAAAGCCGGGCGAAGCTCCAGATAAACAGTTGGCTTCTCAACATTGGAACCCGGCACCTAAATGGTTGGTGTCCTTCTGCCCCCAGGAGAAAACCAGAAGGAAAAAAAAAGAAGAAGAACAAAAACACTAGACGCAAAACAAAAACAACAACAAGACGCCTTAAAGCTCCAGGGCCTCGATTTTTGTTGGCCCGAATCCGAGTCCGCTGAGCCAACCTCTCGGCCTCGGCCTCGAGGCCGAGCCCATCGGCCTGGATCTCCGCGGGCGCGGCCGCTGCCAGGCTCACCTCAGCGACTCGCCAGGCCAGGAGGCCCAGATGGGCTGGGGGTGGGAATGGGGTGGGATGGGGGTCCCATTCGCGCGCGGGTTTTCCATGGTTGCTTTTTGAGAGGTGCCCATGCAAAGTGCCTTGGTTCCTCTTCTATCATGTCCCTAACCAGAACTCCTGGTAGCTCCGGCAGGCTCCCCACCGCCAGCTAGTCAAAACCACTCGTTTCCCTCAAGGCGTGGGGCATTTCGGGAAATCCCTTTCGGGCTGCCACGTTGACTGACATTGCCGGAGAAGTTGCCTCTAAAGACAAGGCCTCAACCCCCCGGTTTGGTTCTATGTTCCTAGTGGATGGGATGGGCAAGGCCCCGCTTTTCGCAACAAGCGACCAGCGGCGCTTCAAGACCCTGAACTTGAGAGGGCGACAAGCGCCGACGGAGGGATCGTGCGCATCGTCGGCTCAAGACAACCGAATGAAGCAAAGCGACCGCCCGAAGCCCGCGCTCCAAGACGGTTTGCCGACGCCTCTGAAGTAAACAACGGGATTGTGAAAATCACCGTCGAACCATCCCATTCTTCAAGCAGCCTGATTTGGGAGTCCCTGCTCATTGAGAAGGAGCCGGGCTTGTGCACCGAAGCAACACGCTGCGGCTTCCCTTCTTTCAGTGAAACCCACCCCTTCACAACCCTTGGTCTGGTTTGCTCTGTTTCAGCCCCGAACTTAAACACAAACAGAGAAAGGAAAAAAGGGGGAAAAACATTAAAACAACTCAAAAACCAAAAAAATGAAAACCTTTTTTTTAAACAATAGTAAGAATAATAATAATAATATATATGACGGTTGTCTGAAATTCCTTGTTCCGGAAACCGCCATCTTCGCGAGAAAAAAAATAACTTTCGCGGACCCCATCGTCGGAACTTTCGCGGGGCTGTTTTCAAAACTCCCAGAAGCTGGTTTCTGCTGGCTGGGGATTGCTTTTGCAGCGGCGTATTCTTGTGGCGACCCTCAAGCTGCGCATTCTCCGACCAACTTTAGTCTACAGGCATTCTGCGCGCACTGCCGGTAAATACACATGATTCATCACTCCAGCTTCCTGTTAGCAAGCCACACAAAACTTTCGCGGAAAAAAAAACTAACTTTCGCGACCCCCTTCGCGGAACTTTCGCGAAGGTCAACGCTAAGACCAAAAGGTCTTCCCCTTCATAGCTCAATACAAGGACCTTTCGGACGACTCTCATATATAAGAACACCAAAAAAACTTGATCCAAGAACCGTGAAGAAGGGCCCATGTCCTGGCCCCTCTTGGGCCCCGGCAGGGATGGGCTTGGGCGGCCACGGCCTGAGAGACGCGGAGCAAGCCCTAGATGAAAAGAGAAACCCCGGCTTAGTGGGGGATGCCACACACACACACATATATATATATATACACATACACATAAATATATGTGTATATATATATATATATGTATGTATACACATGTGTGTGTGTCTGTATATACATGCATATGTTTTTTTGGTGAATAAAGCCATGTTTAAAGAAAGGGGGGTGTCCCTGGTTTGCAAACCTCCTGGTTAGTTTATTAATACGGTTTAGTCGTTTGATGGTTGTGGAGTTGTGGTTTAGTAGCAATGGGAATTGGGTTCCCCTTTTCGTGGGGGAACACCCCACCTATTAGTAGGACGGGTCTTGAAGTCCGGGGCCAACACTATTGCATGCCCTTTCCGAGTGGAGACAATTCGAACACTAGGGTGTGGCACCTGTAATGCTGGGGAAAGTTGCCTGATGGGTCGGCGAGGCCTTGTCTCCCCGCAAAATGCGCAACAGACTTTTTGGACAGACTGCCAATGGCAGACCTCACGAGACAAGGCAACTTAGTGGCCAGTGAATTCTGGTTAGTGACGTGCGGTCCTGGGGTACATTTGAGCAACACCCGTTGCACAAACCAGAGCCAGCGGTCGGCAAGCTTGCCCCAGCACAACTCCGCACAAAACCATGTGCGGTGCTCTGGTGCCGACCGCACTAAGCAGGCGTCATCAATCGCCTCTCACTTCCCGAGTGGATGGCCCAACAAAAAGTTTGTATGCCACTAAAATTGTCCAAATCCAAAAGGCGACTAAAAGTCCATGAACTCGATCGGAAGTGAGCCCCCTTCTTGCAAGAGCCCAGCTTCTTTCCAAGGGTTTTCCTATTTCCTGGGATTTTTTGCTCTCTGGGGAATCGCCCTATTTTGGGGGCCAACGTGATTTCTCAAGGGGTCCCAAATTCCGGTTCCTCCATCCTCGTCATTCCTGATCTGCCGCTGAACAAATCGGACTTTCTGCACAAATCAATGAGTGCCCTCAAAAGTGAGTCTGCTTTTGGTCCCCCTTTAAAACCACCAAAAAAACGGTACCCTTAAAAAAAGGCCACACCCAAAAATGGCTTGAGCCAAGCTCAGCCTTTTTCGGGGTGGCATCGGGCCCCCGGCGCGTTGGCACCACTGAGGTGCAGCACGTGAGCCTCCTGCAGCTCCTTCTCCGATAGGCCCTGACATAGGTTTGGCAGGGTCCCCAGGATGCAGTCGCGCGTATTGCAGGGGAACAAGGGCCCCCCATCCCCTGGGGGTTACGCAGGTTTTTGCGTTTGGTTCCAACTGCCCAGGTGCCCTTTTGGAACGTTTTTAAAGAAAAAACAGGTTTTACAGTGGCTTACCATAGTTTTGGGGCTTCAGTGTGGCCGGTTTACTTGAGATATCTGGGGCATCGGGGCTGAACCCTGGGTTTGAGTAAAATCTGCGTGGGTTATTGGGGTGCTCCTTTTTTTCTTTTTCGGGGGGGGGGGGTCGGAAGCCCCTTCAGCAACTGTCGCCTACAGCCTTCCTGCGTTTGAATAGGGGTGTTTTCCCATCCCAACATTGGGGCACCCCTCCGCCCCAAAAAAGGAATGAAGAAGGAAACAACTTTGAAACATCCAAGTCGAGTTGTCAACATGGTGGCCACAAATGGGCCCCGTCGCTTTCAGGCAAAGTACATAGGCGCCATGTCTTGCTTCTTGGCCTCCGTAGCCTCTAAGGCCTGCCCAGAAGGAATTTCCTGGACCATGAGCTCCAGGAATTTCCAGTGGAATCTGCGCCATTTCCTCACCGATTGAGTGGACTGGCCACAACAAGTCTAAACTGTTTGCTTGCCACTGGCATGGTCCAAACCCAAGGAAGTCCCTGAACTCAGGAAATGCGCTTCTGGCGATTCCCCCGCTCCACCCGCGAGCCATGAGCTCGCCGATCCGCTTTCCCGGCCTTCGCCAGCAGGAATGCCTTCTTGACGTGCCACTCACCTCAGATCGCAATCCCATGCTACGAGTCCCGCGATTTTTGGGTCAGCTCTTTGCTCCGAACTCTCTGAATCGGCTTCTCGGCCGTCGAGTTTCACATATCGGGCGCTGCGAACGTCGAGAGAAAGGGGTTCAAAGGGATTGGCTGGCAGTACCTGAAAAGTGGCTGCCGGCAGGGCCGTACTGGACCTTCTGTGATTTGGGAGCTTCTCAAGATCGGGGTTCCCTAAGTCGGTTGGCTGAAAGCGTCATCATTTTGAGAACTCCCATTTGTCGTGCGAGGGCTGAGTCCTGAAACAGTCAGCATTTGCAACATAGCTCTCAAAGGCCTTTCCAAGACCCGGGGCATGATGACTTTCACAGAATGATACTCGAACAAAAGTGTTACCCTAAACAACTAACTCACAAGATGTGGTTTAAGCAAAACGCATGCTTACGTTGAATCCATCTAAACACAGTGGCATGCCCAAAAATAATTGAATCCCACATGCTTCTTCAATTTTAAGCCTAAAAAGAGGAAAACAAAAACACCCTGCCTCCCGCAGCACTCGAAAACGCGGTGGGAGAACACTTCCACCGCTCTCCCTCCCTCCTCCCAGATTGTCCCCAAAAAAAAACGGGGGGGGGGGGGGGGGGGGGGGGGGACCGCGAACGCGACGCCTTTTCGCCTTTTCGCCTTTTCGCCTTTTCGCCTTTTCGAAACGAGGTGCACTGCTTGGCCGCCGGGTGCTCCAAGAAGCTGGCGGCCAGCTCCACCTGCTCGCGGGATCCGAAGATCCGAAGTCGAACTCTCGATCCGGACCTCCGATGAAGTCGCCATCGGGCGGAGCGAGTTCCGAGCTGAGAGCCCGGGGAGGAAAAAGAAAAAAAACACAGACAAATGGTTATTGGCGAGGGAAAGAATGATAGAATTGGTTGCCAAGACAAGAAGCATGGGTGGGTAAAGGAAAGAAGTGATGGAATTGGTTCATTGCCAAGGACAAGAGAATGAGCTGATTCTCCTGCACATGCCAGCAAACGGTATGGTTGCAGCCATGGTTTCGACGCGGTGCGAATTGGATTTCGTCCATCCACAGTAGCCAGGTGCGCTGATCAATGCACATCCCCCCCCGTTTTAGTAAGGGTCAACCAACCAGGAATCTGGTGCCCCATTTTGGTCTCAAGATTTCTGAGCCATGTCTAACTTGTTGGAATCTCCAAACCTGGCGATCCTTTCAATCAAAAACCCGGAAACCCAGTAAACGGAAACTATGCTTCATCAGCAAAGATTCAATGGAAACCCAGTAAATTGAATATAGTGTTGATCGACCAAGTGTCAGTAGTTTTGATCGGCCAGGATTCAATGGAAACCCAGTAAATTGAATATAGTGTTGATCGGCAAAGATTCAACGGAAACCCAGCAAAATTGAATAGTGTTAATCAGCAAAGATTCAGTAGTTTTGATAGGCAAAGATTCAATGGAAACCCAGCAAATTAAAAATAGGCTTGATCGGCAATGGAAACCTAGTAAAGTGAAACTAGGTTTGATCGGCAAAGATTCTGAAACTAGGCTTGATCGGCAAAGATTCAATGGAAACCCAGTAGATTGAATATAGTGCTGATCGGCAAAGAGTCAGTAGCTTTCATCGGCAAAGATTCAACGGAAACCCAATTTGAATAAAGGCTTGATCGGCAAAGATTCAATGGAAACCCAGTAAATTGAAAGTAGTGTTGATCGGCCAAGGGTCAGTAGTTTTGATCGGCAGGATTCAATGGAAACCCAGCAAATTGAAACTAGGCTTGATCGGCAAAGATTCAATGGAAACCCAGCAAAGTGAATATAGTGTTGATCGGCAAAGAGGCAGTAGTTTTGATCGGCAAAATTTCAATGCAAACCCAGTAAATTGAAACTAGGCTTGATCGGCAAAGATTCAATGGAAACCCAGCAATTGAAAATAGGCTTGATCGGCAAAGAGTCAGTAGTTTTGATCGGCAATGGAAGATTGAAAATAGGCTTGATCGGCAAAGAAATATAGTGCTGATCGGCAAGGAGTCGGTAGATTTGATCGGCAAAGATTCAATGGACACCCAGCAAATTAAAGATAGGCTTGATCGGCAAAGATTCAATGGAAACCCAGCAAATTGAAAATACATCAGAAGGACAAAAGTTTATGCCTCTTGATGGTTTCTGCAAAGCCGTGTGGATCACCCGCGGATCGAATTTCCAACTCCTTTTCATGTGGCAGGAGTGGGACGGTCAATTATCCCCCTCTTTTAAATTTAAAATACTTTAAAGGCTTTGGAGTGTGACAATTCGACCGCGAATGACCCAGCAACAACTTGCAGGATTCTAGGGGGAAAGGGTTGCTTTTTCTGAGAAGGCCCAAGAGGCACAACTTTTGTCCTGGTGGTGCGTCACGGGAGGGGTGTTGGGTGACAGGCTGCAGACGAGTGATGCTCAATTTTTGTCAATGTGCAGAACTATGTGTTTGGACCTTCCCTTGGCAACCGTTGCGAGGATCAGACACTTGAAGAGGCAAGCAGACAGGCATGACATGCGCATGCAAGCGCCCAGTTTTGCATTTCTCCAATGTCGCACACCAGTACTTCACCTGCCAGGTTGAAGTTTTCTGCTGAACAAAGCAGGCAAATCTGCGCCACTGATCCAGGCCGTCAAAAGATTGGTAAGTGAGCAGAGCTGCAGTGGCTTCAGCCCGATAGCCAGCCTCACTCGCGCACGGTCTGCCTCTAGCATCTCTTTGACCCAAGGCGCTTTCCCACTCGGCCTTTTGCAGCTTTGCGGAAGACCTTACTGCAGGCTTCGCGTAGGGCTTGTGGATCAGAGTCTCGGTTGACGCCGGGTGCCACTTGGAGCAGGGCGGCTGCTGCCAAGAGGGCAGAGACAAAAGCGCGTTGGCATACTTGGAGGTGTGAATCCATGAGGAAGCACGAGAAGTAACACCGGACCGACCTATCCTAGCACGGACTTGAGCGTAGAACAGGCCATGTTTTCAGTTTAACAAGACCAGCTGGATGCTTTCAAACATGTGGCGGACTGCGTCACGGGAGGGGTGTTGGGTGACAGGCTGCAGACGAGTGATGCTCAATTTTTGTCAATGTGCAGAACTATGTGTTTGGACCTTCCCTTGGCAACCGTTGCGAGGATCAGACACTTGAAGAGGCAAGCAGACAGGCATGACATGCGCATGCAAGCACCCAGTTTTGCATTTCTCCAATGTCGCACACCAGTACTTCACCTGCCAGGTTGAAGTTTTCTGCTGAACAAAGCAGGCAAATCTGCGCCACTGATCCAGGCCGTCAAAAGATTGGTAAGTGAGCAGAGCTGCAGTGGCTTCAGCCCGATAGCCAGCCTCACTCGCGCACGGTCTGCCTCTAGCATCTCTTTGACCCAAGGCGCTTTCCCACTCGGCCTTTTGCAGCTTTGCGGAAGACCTTACTGCAGGCTTCGCGTAGGGCTTGTGGATCAGAGTCTCGGTTGACGCCGGGCGCCACTTGGAGCAGGGCGGCTGCTGCCAAGAGGGCAGAGACAAAAGCGCGTTGGCATACTTGGAGGTGTGAATCCATGAGGAAGCACGAGAAGTAACACCGGACCGACCTATCCTAGCACGGACTTGAGCGTAGAACAGGCCATGTTTTCAGTGTAACAAGACCAGCTGGATGCTTTCAAACATGTGGCGGTGGACATCAGAAGGACAAAAGTTTATGCCTCTTGATGGTTTCTGCAAAGCCGTGTGGATCACCCGCGGATCGAATTTCCAACTCCTTTTCATGTGGCAGGAGTGGGACGGTCAATTATCCCCCTCTTTTAAATTTAAAATACTTTAAAGGCTTTGGAGTGTGACAATTCGACCGCGAATGACCCAGCAACAACTTGCAGGATTCTAGGGGGAAAGGGTTGCTTTTTCTGAGAAGGCCCAAGAGGCACAACTTTTGTCCTGGTGGTGTAGGCTTGATCGGCAAAGATTCAGTAGTTTTGATCAGGAAAGATTCAATGGAAACCCAGCAGATTGAAACTAGGCTTGATCGGCAAAGGTTCAACGTAGTGTTGATCGGCAAAGAGTGAGTAGTTTGATCGGCAAAGATTCAATGGAAAACCAGTAAATTGAACCTACGCTTGATCGGCAAAGATTTAATGAAAACCCGGTAAATTGAATCTAGTCTTGATCGGCAAAGAGTCAGTAGTATTGGGCAAAGATTCAATGGAAGCCCAGCAAATTGAAACTAGGCTTGATCGGCAAAGATTGAATAGAAACCCAGTAAATTGAATATAGTGTTGATCGGCAAGGAGTCAGTAGTTTTGATCGGCAAAGATTCAATGGACACCCAGCAAATTAAAAATAGGCTTGATCGGCAAAGATTCAATAGAAACCCAGCAAATTGAAAATAGGCTTGATCGGCAAAGATTCAACGGGAAACCCAGCAAATTAAAACTAGGCTTGATCGGCAAAGATTCAATGAAAACCCAGTAACATGAAACTAGCTTTGATTGTTAAAGATTCAGTAGCTTTGATCGGCAATGGTAAGTTCAAAATAGGCTTGATCGTCAAAGATTCAGTAGTTTTGTTGATCGGCAAAGATTCAATGGAAACCCAATAAATTGAATATAGTGTTGATTGGCAAAGATTCAGTGGTTTTGATCGGCAAAGATTCAATGGAAACCCAGCAAATTCAAAATAGACTTGATCGGCAAAGATTCAACGGGAAACCCAGCAAATTGAACTAGGCTTGATCGGCAAAGATTCAATGAAAACCAAGCAAATTGAAACTAGGCTTGATCGGAAAAGATTCCATGGAAACCCAGGAAGCTGAACGACGTGTTGATCTTAAAAGATTCAGTAGTTTTGATCGGCAAAGATTCAATGGAAAAGCAGTAAATTGAAACTAGGCTTGATCGGCAAAGATTCAATGGAAACCCAGCAAACTGAAAATAGGCTTGATCCGCAAAGATTCAATGGAAAAGCAGTAAATTGAAATTAGGTTTGATCGGCAAAGATTCAATGGAAACCCAGCAAACTAAAAATAGGCTTGATCCGCAAAGATTCAGTAGTTTTGATCGGCAAAGATTCAATGGAAAAGCAGAAAATTGAATCTAGGCTTGATCCGCAAAGATTCAATGGAAACCCAGAAAATTGAAACTAGGCTTGATCGGCAAAGGTTTAATGAAAACCCAGTAAATTGAACGTAGTGTTGATCGTCAAAGATTCAGTAGTTTTGATCGGCAAAGATTCAATGGAAAAGCAGTAAATTGAAACTAGGCTTGATCGGCAAAGATTCAATGGAAACCCAGCAAACTGAAAATAGGCTTGATCCGCAAAGATTCAATGGAAACCCAGTAAATTGAACGTAGTGTTGATCGTCAAAGATTCAGTAGTTTTGATCGGCAAAGATTCAATGGAAAAGCAGTAAGTTGAAACTAGGCTTGATCGGCAAAGATTCAAAGCAAACCCACCAAACGGAAAATTGGCTTGATCCGCAAAGATTCAATGGAAAAGCAGTAAATTGAAACTAGGCTTGATCGGCAAAGATTCAATGGAAACCCAGCAAACTGAAAATAGGCTTGATCGGCAAAGATTCAATGGAAACCCAGCAAACTGAAAATAGGCTTGATCGGCAAAGATTCAATGGAAACCCGGTAGATTGAACGTAGTGTTGATCGTCAAAGATTTAGTAGTTTTGATCGGCAAAGACTCAATGGAAAAGCAGTAAATTGAAACTAGGCTTGATCGGCAAAGATTCAATGGAACCCCATCAAACTGAAAATAGGCTTGATCGGCAAAGATTCAATGGAAACCCAGCAAACTGAAAATAGGCTTGATCGGCAAAGATTCAATGGAACCCCAGCAAACTGAAAATAGGCTTGATCGGCAAAGATTCAATGGAAACCCAGCACATTGAAAATAGACTTGATCGGCAAAGATTCAATGGACACCCAGTAAATTGAAACTAGGCTTGATCGGCAAAGATTCAATGGAAACCCAGCAAACTGAAAATAGGCTTGATCGGCACAGATTCAATGGAAACCCAGCAAATTGAAACTAGGCTTGATCGGCAAGGATTCAGAAGCCTCATCTTGGGTGAGCCTGCCATGGCCAAATAATGAATGAATGGACCCGCTCCGGCCCCCGCCCGCGAGGCGTGCTCCTTTGTGGCGACTCCTGCGAGGAGCCCCACCCCCCTGCTTTCTGCAAAGGGCGTGTGCCCCCCCAAAAATATATATATATATATATATATTTATAAAGAAGAAACAAAACACAAAGGGAACAGAGAAGTGTACAGTATTGGATGTTGTGGGCATGTCCAAAAAAACTTGTCAGGCTAGACAAGTCCCCATGAGCGAAAGCCATTTGTACGGGGCCATTTGGGGGCTTGGTTTGGCAGTCAAAGGTCAGTCCTGGCATTGCATCGCAGCGCGCATAGCAATCCTTCAAAGCAAGGCTAGCGGGTGCCTGCGGAACATGCCAATGCCAAAAAGCTAAGGCGCTATAGGGCACATGTGTTTGCTTCCAGAAACATCGGCCACTTTCTGCTTTCTCTGTGTCAGGGCGGCATGCACGCCTCTAAGCTAAGCAAAAGCCTCTGACCGCCACGAGCAGAGATAACGGCGATCACAGCACAATGGTCAAATGTCTACGCTTGGGCACTAGGTCTACTGCAAGGTCAGGCAGGTCATCAAGCTTCTCACGCAATTTGGGCTCAAAAACTTGCACTGCAGAGCTCTACGAGGCGATCACAGAGCCGGGCAAGGAACTCCGGAAAATGCCATGTATGAGCAGGTTGGAAGGCAGCAACCCTTGCCGAACACCTCCACATTTCCTTGAAGCCCCGCAAAAGATCCTTGGAATCTGCACACATGCGCCCAATCACCATGTGCACGCCGACATGGCTGGCTGATGTGCGCGCGCTCTCGCTCTTGAGGACCTAAGGGGGGCACTTTTCGGATGAGTAAGCGCGGCGTTCTTTGTCCGTTCCAGTCACCGATGTTGTCCAACCAAGCAGTAAATGTCCACGACTTCAGGGCTGCCAATGCCGCAACTCTGGCAACAAACACAACATCGCGGCGACTCTTCCGTTGAGACCCTACGGTGTAGTAAATCGATGAGTTTGACCCCCCCCCCCAACCACCCAAATACACCAAGAATATGTTACTAACCTGCCCCATACCAAGCTGTATGACACAATATGAGTGTGCCAGCCATGCGCGCCTCGTCCTAGGTGACGTAAATGGTCAAATGTGCTTCTGTTTGCATATTCGTTTATTGTGCGTGCATTCAAACGTTCACACGCACGAATGACGCATACACAGAAGCACAAGCGTGAGCCCTTCACAATATAGTATGCGAACACGTGGTCATGTAAATGCCATGCACATTTGCTTGCATAGCACTTGCGCACGCGCAAATACACAAGAAACATATAGAATCATCAGGGCGAGCCGACAAGTTTGATTTTACTAGCCTGCGCCACTCATGGCTGAGATTCTGCAGAAGGGAAGAAAGCAGCGCTGGAAGCTTCCAAAAACCTTCCCAGATCCCTGGGCGAGACCGTAGCTGCCCCCGGCCTGCAATCTTGGCAATCCGTTCTTCACTGCCGACGAGCGTCAAATATACAAAATAAAGCCGATCAAGAGCACTCGATGCTCAAGCAATGAACCTCTATAGAGCTCAGCATGCCGGAAAAAGCGACACCTGTCAGTGTGTGCCTTTGCTCATCCTCGCCAAAGGCCAGGTTCTGCAAGCTGCCAGGCAGAACGACTTTTTCCAAGGTTTGGTAGAAGAAACTGCCAAACGTCAAGCTCTGCAAGCTGCTAGGCAGGTCGACTCCTTCTAGGCTTCTGTTGAATTCATCTCCGAAAGTCAGGCTCCTCAAGCTACTAGGCAGAGTAACCCCCGCTAAGCTTTGGTTGAAGGCGGCGCCAAAGGTCAGATTCTGCAAGCTGCTTGGCAGATCGACTTTGTCCATGGGCTGGTTGAACTCGTCGCTGAAAAACAGGCTCTGCAAGCTGTCGGGAAGAACGACTTTCTCCAGGCGTTGGTTGAAGTCCATGCCAAGGTCCAAACTGCGCAGGCCAGTTGGCAGCTTGACTCCCTCCAAGCTTCGGTTGAAGCCGTTGCCAAATGTCAACTTCTGCAAGCTGTCGGGCAGGGCAACTTTCTTTAAGCCTTGGTTGAACTGCTGGCCGAAAGTAAGGCTCTGCAGGTTTCTGGGCAGGCTGACTCCATCTAAGCTGGTGTCAAAGCAAAACCCGAACGTCAAGTTCTGCAAGCTGCTGGGCAGATTGACTCCCTTCAAGCTTCGGTTGAAGCTTTCGCCAAACACCAGGTTTTTCAAGCTGCAGGGTAGCATCCCTTCTAGGCTTCCGTCGAACTGGTCGCCCAGCGTGAGGCTGTGCAAGCTCTGAAACATTGTCAAGGATTGGAAGCCCAAGCCCAAAGTCAAGTTCTGCAAGCTGCTTACATTGACTCCCTCCAAGTTCTGGCGGAAGCCAGCGCCGAAATCCAGGCTCTGCAAACCTGGCAAGTCGAGCCCCTTCAAGCTTTGGTTGAAGCACCTGCCAAACGTCAGGCGTTGCAAGCTGCGCGGCAAGCTGACGTTCTTCAAAGTCTTGTTGAAGCGATGCCCGAAAGTCAGAATCTGCAGACTCATGGGCAAGAAGACTCCTTTCAAGCTTAGATCAAATGAATCCCCCAAGGTCAGGCTCCGCAAGCGGCCAGGCAGAATGATTTGCTCCAAGCTTCTGTTGAAGTTGTGACCGAAACTCAGGTGTTGCAAAGTGCTGGGCAAGGTAAGTCCCTTCAAACTCTGGTTGAATCCGTCGCCCAAAGTCAGACTCTGCAGGCTGCTTGGCAGATTGACTGCCTTCAAGCTTTTGTTAAACCCGCAGCCGAAAGTCAAGCTCTGCAAGCTCCTGGGCAAAGCGACTCCCTTTAAGCTCTGGTTGAAGGCGCTTCCGAAAGTCAGGCTCTGCAGGCTGCTTGGTAAAACGACACCATGCATAGACTGATTGAAGCAGCAGCCGAAAGTCAGGCTCCTCAAGCTGGGCAGGGTAACTCCTTTCAAGCTTTGGTTGAAGGTCCATCCAAAGGTTAGATTCTCCAAGCTGCTGGGCAGAGTGAGTCCCGCCAAGTTTTGGTTGAAGTGCTTGTGGAAGCTCAGGCTTTTTAAGGTGTCTGGCAATTTTTCCAGCACGGGGCGCATGTGACTTCCTAGTCCCCAGCAAATCTTTGTCACGCCTTCCAGTGCCTCTATGGCATTCTCCATAGCTCCCACATCATCATGATCACCATCACTATCCGAACTACCCATGTAGAAGTCATAGATGAGATCTGTGTCAGCTTGACTCAGCAGATTGTAGGCATTAAGCACGTTGGTGCGCGTGTAGGTGAAGGTGCCCTCCGTTGACTCCAGGCCCTCCCGCAAAGTCTGGTTCAGCACCAGCTTGGTGTTGCCGAACCAGAGGCTGAGCACACCTCCGGAAGGGGTGCGGGCAAAACCGGCGCTTAAGCCACAAGACCCTGGCACACCTCGGAAGCAAGAGCAAGATGTGTGAACTAGCAATAAATGCGTGATTGGCCCAACTAACCAACCAACCGAGCAAGGAAGCAAGCAAGCAAACAAGCAAACAAGCAAGCAAGCACGCGAGCAAGCGAGCGAGCAAGCAAGCAACCAACCATCCAAGCAACCAAACAACCAAGCAAGCAAGCAACCAAGCAACCAACCAACCAACCAACCAACCAACCAACCAACCAAGCAAACAACCAAGCAAGCAAGCAAGCAACCAAGCAAGCAACCAAGCAACCAAGCAACCAAGCAACCAAGCAACCAAGCAACCAAGCAAGCAAGCAAGCAAGCAAGCAAGCAAGCAAGCAACCAGCCAAGCAAGCAAGCAACCAAGCAAGCCAGCAAGAAAGCAACCAACCAACCAACCAACCAACCAACCAACCAAGCAACCAAGCAACCAAGCAACCAAGCAACCAAGCAACCAAGCAACCAAGCAACCAAGCAACCAAGCAACCAAGCAACCAAGCAACCAAGCAACCAAGCAACCAAGCAACCAAGCAACCAAGCAACCAAGCAACCAAGCAACCAAGCAACCAAGCAACCAAGCAACCAAGCAACCAAGCAACCAAGCAACCAAGCAACCAAGCCAAGCAAGCAAGCAAGCAAGCAAGCAAGCAAGCAAGCAAGCAACCAAGCAAGCAAGCAAGCAAGCGACCAACCAAGCAAGCAAGCAACCAACCAAGCATTCAACCAACCAACCAACCAACCAAACAACCAAACCAGCCAACCAGCCAACCAAACAACCAACCAACCAAACAACCAAACCAACCAACCAACCAACCACCCACCCACCCACCAACCATTCAACCCACCCCACCCACCCACCCACCCAACCTGTTGACCCCACGGCTCCGGCCTCCGGGCCGCGAGGGCAGCTGCGACCTCACAAGTCTCAGCAGCTCAGTGCCCCGCATCTCCCCAGCCACGCTGAAGCGCAGCTCCCCGCCATCCAGGCCCGCGAGGCGCAGCTCCAGGTCGGCGGGGGGCTCCATGGCCGGGACCCGACCCGAAGCGCCGAAGCGCCCGGGAGCCCTGGTCCAAAAAAACCCGTGGCAGAGCCTAGGGAGAGACTCATCTTCCGGAAAGCCCCACTCAGGTGGTTCTGATTTCTGGCTTGAGCGTGCCATGTTTAAGAAGCTGGCTTGAAGGGGGACCAAAGGGAAAACTGAAGTCCATCTTGGGGTCCCCTTCTATTTGACTATTTGACACATACCCTTCTGCATCTGCAGTGACTGATCAACTTTAAGTCACGGTTGTTGGATGCTGTGGCCGCAGGGTAAGCGCGGTTCGGCACACGCTACAAAACTGGTCCGCGTGAATTCCTCGCAAGGCCCAGCTGCAAGAACTGCATGCAAAGCGGTCTTGGGGGTCTATTTCATTCGAAGGAGGCCTTCCCCCAGAAGTGAAGCCGAACCCGCCCGGCTCTGGATCCGACTCTCTGACTAACACGGCCCCGCTGCCGATCACAAAAGTAAAGGGTTCCCACTAAAAGGGCACTCTCATTATTAATCCGGGGTGCCCGTGAATGCTTCCCTCTGTGCCGAGTGACACGCACGCATGGCCCTGTGCGCGCAATTCTGCTCTGCCTGCAAAGCTCGTTCCCATATCCACTTGGCATCAGGGTTCCACTTTTTGATTACCCCCAAACTGACTTCAACCCAGGGATGGGTCATGTACCTCAAAAGGGGAAACCCCTGGGTTTAAGTCTATTTGCAGGTGGTCAAAAACTAGAACCCTGCTTGGCATGGCTTAACGAAACAAGGAAACAACAACTGCTGGATTGCCTCGTCAAATCTCTGCCCACTCGAGCATAAGGCTACGGCCCATGTCTGACCCAGATGCAGCAAGAGTTCATCGAGCTGAAAGGGACTGGCTACATGCAGCTAGACGGAAGGAACACGACCTTTCCCAGGGTTCCATTTGTTCACCACCTGCAAATAGACTTAAACCCAGGGGTTCCCTTTTTGAAGTACATGACCCATCCCTGGGTTTAAGTCATTTTTGAGGGTAGTCGAAAAGTGGAACCCTGGACATGCCTTCTGAAACTCCCCCAGCCCATGCGATCCAACCACGGCTTTAACAGATATCCTGCGCAGAGCCTGCTTCATGGACTTCCAAGCAAAGCTATGGCGGGGGTGGCTATACACTGACGAAGGATAAGCCCCTAATAAGGCCAATCAAGAGCTCAATACTGTGGATGGACGAAATCCTGCACCGCCTAAGAACCATGAAAAAAAACATGTTTGTTTGTATTTACAGGGGATCACATCATTCCAGGGTTTCTTAGGTGGTGCGAAACGGATTTTGTCCATCCACAGCAGGTGTCTGTTTTGCCCCTGTAGATTCCCTTGGAGGTCCATGCCAAAAGACTGAACCAGAGAGGGCCAAGCTCCCAAAGTTTCCGTTTCAAGGGGCTAGGTCCTAGTTGTTCAATTTTTGGCCCAACCCATTGCACCGCGCGAGCGGCAGTTCGGCCTTTTACCATGGAACTGCCTGGTTTCGCCCTTCCACTTGCTTGCCCTTCAGGCAAGCAAGACATCTGACGAGCACGCGCCCACCAACATGCTCCACCATCTGGGCCTCAGAATATGGGGCCCGAGAAGTTGAGTCCAGGTTCTTTCCTTTGGGCTTCCCTTTCGTCCAGCCTAAGAAGGGCAGCCTCACAAAATACACACGGCTATGCGGGCTCCTAGGCAACCGGACCAAATGATGTCCACAATTCATAGCTCCCTGCCAAGACCCCAGGGAACCTCCCATTTTTAAGAGGGGCCATATAGTTCCCAGGTTCCCAAGGAAGCGGGCAAAAAAAAGACTAGCCCAACACGGAAAGCATCGACCATGAAACTGGCAGTGACAGTCCCGATGAAAAACGTCGCCTTTCGGCTTGCGGAGCTTGGGTGAAACACTGACTGAAAGCCTTCCTTTCTCAGCGGCGCCCAGCATTTGGCTCCTGACAGGTAAGGGCAAGCTGGCAAAAAGCGGCTCTTACTTGGACCGAGCCGTCGGCATTGTTTTGAGGGTAGCCTGTTGGTATACATTGAGCAACCAACAGACCAGCCATTATAGGGTTCCATTTGTTTCAGCCCACTGGAAAAATGAATATGTTCAGCAGTCATAGGTTCCCCTCCCCTTAAAACCAACAGGGGAACCTAAAAAGTATTCTGAAGCAAATGGAAGTAGGTGTCCTTATTTTGACACATGCCCAGGAACCGCCGAAACAGGCCGCCTTGAGCGAATCGCCAAATGCTCGCAAGTTGTCCCGCCATGTTGCTCGCTTCACTGGGATTTTTATTTTTAGGAGATGGGGAGAGCATAATATGTCCACCTTAAACATCGTCCCACCCAAAGAAAATTAGGCCGAAGAGATGATGCGCTTTGAGCCAACGAAAACGAGGGATTGTGTATATATATATATATGTGTGTGTGTGTGTGTGTGTGTGTATGTGTAGCTCCTGCCTCGTGGGATGGTGTGAAAAACTATAGAAAGGCAAAAGAAGATCAACCCGAAACAAAAGTCTCCAGCCAAATGCCCAGTGACAGAGAAATGGGTGTTGTAAATCATTTTAGTTGGTGAACCACCTGGGATGCAGAAGAAAAAAACGGGAACCCTCAGAAAACAGGCAAGCCCTACTCGCAGAACAAGGCAAAAGCGGGAAGACGCCGGCCCATCAAAGGGAACACACCTCGCCGTTGGACCCAAGGTAACCATTCTTATAAGTGGGGCTTGAGGCCTTGATCTCTTGGCCCGCTTTTCTTCGAAACAGAAACATCCACCGCAAAAAAAGGTTGCAGGGAACTTCACTGAAGCTCCACACGGAAAAAGCGTTTTGCGCCAACTTCTCTACCCCCACCACCAAAAAAAGCACACAAAAAATATCGACCCCTTCTCTACTTGCTAAGCGGCCTTTGGGCTTCAGGCCCCCAGGGGCCTTCCAAGCCAAGGGCCCCACATCCCGGCGGATCGAGTCCAGGACTTCGCGCCGGTAGTTCTCCTGAGCCGCAGGTCTGCTGCTGCTGAACGGAATCGCCGGCAAACAGGTGGGTCACTGGCCCAAATGAAGGCGGGTTGCCCAAGTGTCCTGTACAAATGGGCCAAATGGGTCTTGTTCTTTTGTACAAATGGGCCAAATGGGTCTTGCTCTTTAGGAAAACCGTGTTAACTTGCAGAATATTACTTAGGAATGAACTGTAACTGGGGGTACTCCCCTGTAACCATGTTTTTGTTCTTGCTTGCCTGGCTGAGCACCGGCGGGGACCCTAGATTTGCCTGAGAAAAAAAAGCCCCAAACCTGCCAGGAAACTCACTATCAACAACTAGCATTTAGTAATTTAGGCAACCAAAAGGTGGTGCTAACATCCCGCCAAAAGGGGAAGTATGGGAAACCCAGAATCAAACGGGGCCAAATGAGGAGAGCGACCACGTTTGGTGTTTGGCAGTTGCGAACAGCTGTGCCATCTGCAAAAATCTCGTTCCCCGGAAAGAGGGCCGCCGCAAGTTTCAACGCCCTTGCGCTTTGACCTTCTGAGATAGAGGCTCGACGCAACGGGAAAGTAGTCCCCAAGTCGGAAACCCCGGCCCGAACGGCAAAGTATGACTGGCACCTCCCCCCCCCACTCCGCTCGCTC